CTTCCATGAAATAAGAACAGAGGTAGCCATTGTTCATTGGCATAAAATTCTGCAGGAGCCCCGTTCCTCACACCTAATTATAATCTGGGATCATTTCAGTCATGTGTAATCATGCAAATAGATGGTGTGGTACAGTAGTAGTGTGAGGGCTATTAACTGGTTACAGTCCCCTGAGCATTTTGTGAGATGTCTGAGCACACCTTGACCAAGAACTACCATGACTCAGGGCTGAAGTTAAATCCAGGATTAATCTAGTTCTTACAAGGATTCCATTGCACCAAACCAAATACTTTTATGACTTGGCCATACACAGCAGCCAACAATGCATACACTACAGAATTTACTTATTCTTCTTACAACTTGAACTATTAACTACTTAAGAAATATTGAAACTTTCCCCTTTACCTTAGCCTTCCATTAAAAAGAGAGTAAGTTTTGCCGGCAGAGCTGGAAGCAAGTCCAAGGATTTGGTAATCGTTTTGTTAAAGCAAAATCTGCTAGAGTGTTTGAACAGAAACATATGAGAAACAATGCGGAACATGTCAGGTTGTGGGAGGAGGGGGCAGGCTCATCCCACTCTGCCTTGCCCCTAAGACATTTCTTAGTTGGCCCAAGGGAACCTCAGATAAAAGTATTTCTTCCATAAGACAAAAGTGAATGCCTGGAATTTATCTTACATCCCTGGTGCATTTTCCTAATCCGGCCTCTCCTTGGCCCGCCCGAAGCAACGCACAGGCGCTCCTGAACTCAGGGCCTCCCTCTCCTCTTTCCTCCCTGCTGTCTGCCCCTTTTCCCCCCATATCTCTCCTGATTATAACTAGAACTTGATATTTTTTTTAATTTTCCAGGAACCAGTGGAGGAGGTCTATAAAGTTTCATTTTAGTGACATAGCTCAAAGAGAAGACAGTATCTGAGTCACAGCTGGTCTTTTTGGTCATTCCCGAAAGGGCTCCAAATGTTCCACTGGTCTTATGGAATTAACTCCCCCAACTGATGCACATGTCACTTAGGAAAATGAAGCCCTTCAACTGGCTGCACCCCAGCAGCTGCTGTGAAGTCAGACGAGGTCGGACAGTAACAGAGAACCTCTTCTCTCCCTAACAAACCACTTCCTAATACATCTAGACACTGAGAGGGTGAAAGTGGGAGAACTCACATCCCAAATTTATCTAGGGAGTTCCATTTAAAATGACTATATGTAATACGGATATTGGAGCAAAAGTGAAAATTAAATCTTTTTACAATTTATGTCATTTCACCAGGAGAAACAGGGGCCTTGAGTCTGGGCTAGCAGAGTTTGTTACCACTGACACTGGTCCAAGCAAGGTGGACCACTTTTGCAATCTGCCCAGAGCACCTTGTAATATTAAAGATCTATGACAGTGGTAGCATTTCCATCTTGTTACCTATTCAGCATTTTCCCCACATTTTTTTAATGGTTTTGGTAAGGTCTTGGACTATTCCCAACCTTCCATTGCTCCCAGGGAGGCAGGCATCAGCAGCCCACCCTCTGGTACCCTGGAGTGGGGCGGGAGCACGGGAGAGGGGGGTGAGAGACTGAAAGTCTTAGAGGCACTAAGGGCCCCCGACTCAACCAGCGCTAGAGTTGTCCTCTGAAGGGAACCTACATGGGAAGCTGAAATCATGGGAATCTGCCAGGCCAAGAGGTCAGCTCAAGTTCCTGAGAACTCAATGAAAATAGCAGCCCTGCTCTCCCCAGAGCCCATCTCCGAGACTCCCACTCGGGAGACATCAGCCCAGCCCCTGCACAGCCCTCGGCCTCCTGCTTCTCAGCCTCGCACACTGTCTTCCCGTCCACCACTCCTCTCCCCTTTGATAATGTTTTCTCCCTTAATTCTCATGGTTCTTGGTAGGTAGAAGGGAAAATAACAGACACACGAGAGAATGAAATCATCAAACTTTCTAAGTCTGGTTATACTAAAGTATGTGACCAGAGTGCAAATGACGTGATGATCTCTGTCACACCACAAGGCTCCCCCCGCCCTCCACAGGGTTCTTGTTGAAATGTCTGTCTGGAAACAGAAGTGTCCTCAGGCAGTGGTGGCTGTCAATGTTTGATTTGGGGGTCAGGAGTGCTTATAATTCCAGTTCTCAAGATCAGCCGGGTGTAAACACTTCATTCATTCACAAATACAAGTGATACATCACATACAAGACACATAAGTTAAAAGGGACCCAGTCCCTGCCCTCACTTGCCTCATTCTCCCCTCCCCCACAGCCTCCCAAGCGTTCACTTGGACAGACAATGCAGTTACCTCACAGCTCTTCTCCCTTCTTTAGTCTCCCACTTTGTCTCCAGTCGACACCAATGTCTCAGGGATTCCTGAACACCACTCTGCTTCCCTGGTCGGGTTACCCCCTGTTTAAAATTTTCAATGCCTTGCTCTTGCCTTTAAAATAAAGGCCAAACTTCTGACTAGCAGAAAAACTATTGGCAGTTCCCCAAATAGACCACTTTTTTCTCAAATATTGAGTGATTTGCAGATGCTGCTCTCTCTGCCTACAATGCCTTTCCTCTTTCTGTACCTGCAGAACTCCTATAATATTTCAAAACTCAGTTGAGATGTCACCACCTCCAGGAAGCTCTCACTGACTACCAGCTCTACCCCTTCTGAGTTGGATGTCTCTCCTTTCTGTTCCTTATACTTCATTAATACTTCTGTCATAGCAAAGATATGAATAATAATTATCTTATTGACCACTTTCTCTCCAATTAGCCTGAGAACTTGTTGATAGAAACTATACCATTAACTCTGTCTTTGACTTACCTCCCCCTTAGACTGTCTAGCACATAATAGGTGCTCAGTAATGGTTTGATGAGTAAAGAAGCTCAAAGACAGAGAAGCATAACTGTAATGAGGTGTAATAAATAACAGAGTGGAAGGCCCTGATGAACGAATACAGAGATTGGACCTTTCTACTGGAGAAGAAAACAGAGTCTGGGAAGGTATCCCAGAGGAGGAGATGCTTGGGCTGCCATTGAGGAAGACCCAGAGATCACCAGGCCTGTGGGGAGGAGAAGGCAAAGAAAACAGTGGCATAGGGAAGGCCCTGGATGCCTCAGTCAGCATGGCACACGTGGGAAAATTTCCCTTAGAAGAATAACTCTGGTGGCGATGAGAAGAAGACCCTGATGGGAGGGTGGCAGGAGGGTATCAGAATAATCCACGTGGAGGCCTGAACTGAGCTAGTTAGCAATGGGATACAAATGAGGACAGAGACAAAGGCAGAGAGGTTAAGGTAAGGAGCCCAGCGTGATCCCCAAGTTTCTGGCTTGGGCGACTGGTGGTGCCATTAACCAGGATTAGGAATTAAGAGGAAAGACTGCTTTGGGAGGAAGGAGGCAAGCCCAGGCTGCTGGTGCTGGATTGGAGTTGCATGTTGGACACCTGGGGGGAAATGTTTGTTATCCATTGGGTATGTGAGTATGAGGCTCAGAAGAGAGTCTAGCAAGGAATGAAGGCTGAATTTTAACTTCTGTTTTACTTCTGTAATTTGATACTGGGCCGTAATGTTTCAGCCCTGGGTGGGGACCTCTGGCAGAGGGATAATTGGTCCTACTTCTGCCTCTGATTTGGATATGTGGCCTCTGGCAAGCTACTCAACGTCAGGTTGTGGCTATTGCCTTATGGGAAAGGAGATAATTAAGGAAACCTGGAGAAAAATGTTGCAAATATTGGCTCTAAACAAATTAATTTAGGCCTGTCTTTCATAATTCTCCTATGGAATATGGAGGTCATGCCCCTGAGACCACCCCACTGATCAAAAACTACAGTTCAAAAGCCCACCAAGAACACCAAGGGGGAGTCTTTACCTTCAGCACATTAAAATCCTTGGCCCAGAGAATCCTCTTTAGGTAGAGATGTTACTTTCTTGCTACGACAAATGTGTCTGCTCTTCCCCTCCACTGTGGAGGTGGGAGGTGGCCTTACTTTAGAGCCCTCTTGCATTGTGATGGCAAGCTTCTGCTCCTGTTCATGCCCAGCGTGCAGCACCCACCTTGATCATGCTCTCCTATAGAGTTTATTTGCAATTCTGTCTGCATTACTTAGGCTGAGATCTGCTTTATTTAAGGCACCCAACTAAAATAGCATTTTTACAAAGCAACCATTGTGCTTTTCCTGGCCAATTTATCGTAAGTGACTTGAACTGAAATGAAACATATTTTAATCTGAAGCTTCCTGACAATAATGGTACTGTGGGAGTTACCTGATGTGCTAGGTTCAAACCTCTTTTATTCCAAGTATCCAGTCACAAAGGCTAAGTGGGAATTGCTTAGGGAACCCAAACATTTCTGGCAATTCAAGAAGAATTGGTTTTTAACCCAAAAGCTTCTGACAGTCAGGTGTGAGACTGGCAAAGATTTAGCAAGAGCATTAGTCATGTGTGGAGAACGGAGGGTCTCATTTTTAATTCAAAGCACTGCATAGAAAAATTCATCATCAAACCTGAATATCAACCAACCACTCTTTACAAAGGAGGCAGCATCACAATAGCAGCCAGGGAAATTTAAAGGATGCATAATGACAAATCTCAAAGAAGCCCCAGAACCAATCACTCCCTCCAACAAGGTGAATTAGATGCTGGCACTGTATTCAGTGACAAGGCCTTGAAATGTTTACTTCTTGTTTCAATGCAAGGGTGCCTGGTTATTTGGAATTGTAACAAACATTCCCAACTAAAAAAAAAAGTGCTAAATAGCTTAACTATAGCTTCTGCCATACTGGCTAAGCACAGCTAATGTAAGCCACTACAACCTCTGTGCTGTGTATCCTAATTTCTATGAAGAAGCTAAATCAATTTTGTAGCCAGAGTCAGGAAGCAGCTAGGGATTTGCCTCTCCTAAGAAGCAGACAGCTGCAGCTAAATTGTTCTGATGCTCCCTGGGCACAGGTAATCACGAATGCTTTTCTAACCTGTTGGAAATGCGAATTGAGGCGGACGTCTTTGGCTGACTGAATGTTTCTTTAATTAACAGGTAGGAGATCAAATCATTGAAATCAACGGGGAGAGCACACGGGACATGACGCACGCCAGAGCGATAGAACTCATCAAATCGGGAGGAAGAAGAGCGAGGCTGCTGCTGAAGCGCGGGACGGGGCAGGTCCCAGAGTATGGTGCGTTTCACGTTCTTTCACTTTTTCGTGTTTCTTTCGTGAACTGTAAATGCCTGTGCTTATTTATAGACCAACAGCAGTTCTTTAATTCTGCTGAAATCTATATTTGGCTGTCAGTAGATATATGCACACACATGTACCTTTAAGCACAAGATAAATATGTGTGTGAGCTCTGTTTTGCTCTGTTAGGTAGTGTTTAAAATAGCAAACAGAGGAACTTTCAGGGCATCTCTGAGTGTGCAGGGAGATGCAGTTGCCACTTATACATTGGAACTTTTGTAATTTGACTGATAGTCATCTGTTCATTTGAGCCCACAGTCATGTATCAATTCCTAAAATCACACACAAATCACACTGTCCCATAGGGTAGATAACTGGGGCCAGGGGATAAGCAAGAACAAATCTTCAGGGCATGAAGTTTACGCTAAAATGTAAACTTCAGCTCATGCAGTGGTTGCATTTCCTTGACATTTAGGGATATCACAAAAATCCGCTCCTATGTTGTGCCCCCTGTGTGCTTTTGAGGAAGGCATTAAAGAAGTCTTGAAGGAATTCTGTCTCAGCAGCCCATTAAGTCACCGCTGACAGCATTACCAAGAAACTGCTACACGGTCATTACATGAAAAACATCAAATCTGAGCTGGTCTTTAATTAATCTCAAAGAGTGTCAGACAGACAGGTATCTGTGAAGAGCCGTGCAGAACATACCTGTCCAGATTAGAGAACTGGGATCTAACTGCTCAAATTGTTAGTAATTAGCTCAAATTGTTAATCTGGATACCATGATTCTCAATTTTACCCCTTCATCCCCAAACTTCCCTAGCCCATAAAAATTTCTAAGTAATACTTTTCCCTCTCAGATTATGCTTGTTGCTTAAGTTACCTAATAACTGACTGAACACTTCCTTATTTAGTGGAACAGTATAGTCCTGAGTTCAGCTGAAATATCTGAAGTTAAGTACTTTGCATCCAGGGTCTTGAGCATACCCCAAAAATGGCTGTCAAGCTCTCACATTAAGAGTTGGGAAGCATTCAGAAGTTTCAGTAGGGCTGGCTCTACTCCCAAGGAAATATTTCATCCCCGTTCCCCACCCTTAGTGCTTGCATCTAATAAAATGGTTTAAAATATTAATATTAGCAATAAGCACAGGCCTGGTCCTGCATGAATCCCTTCGTAAAGAATCTGAACTCTTAGAATAGAAAAACTATTTGTACCCTAGAGCATTAAATGATTCAGTAATATTAAACTGACCTGTGAGATTCTTTTTTTTTTTTTGTCCTGTGAGATTCTATCACTTATAAAAAATACCTCATCCAAAAGGTATGTTTTACTCCATGGCAAGACCTATTACCTATACCAAGGGATTTTCATATTGATCTTATTGTTCTAACAAATTTATCTTCAAAAAGTTCATCTGAACAGCACGGCCACCCTGAGTTCTCTTTTCTTTCATAGAATCACTAATCAGTCCATATTTTCAGCATCCTCTATGCCAGCTGCTTATTTATAGTTAACAGAACAGTACTATTGATGAACCAAAGCATAAGTATGAAGCTACTTCAAAGCATCATTAAGGAAAAAATAAAAACATGTTTTTACCCCACTGATCAAAAACTACAGTTCAAAAGCCCACCAAGAACACCAAGGGGGAGTCTTTACCTTCAGCACATTAAAATCCTTGGCCCAGAGAATCCTCTTTAGGTAGAGATGTTACTTTCTTGCTACGACAAATGTGTCTGCTCTTCCCCTCCACTGTGGAGGTGGGAGGTGGCCTTACTTTAGAGCCCTCTTACATTGTGATGGCAAGCTTCTGCTCCTGTTCATGCCCAGCGTGCAGCACCCACCTTGATCATGCTCTCCTATAGAGTTTATTTGCAATTCTGTCTGCATTACTTAGGCTGAGATCTGCTTTATTTAAGGCACCCAACTAAAATAGCATTTTTACAAAGCAACCATTGTGCTTTTCCTGGCCAATTTATCGTAAGTGACTTGAACTGAAATGAAACATATTTTAATCTGAAGCTTCCTGACAATAATGGTACTGTGGGAGTTACCTGATGTGCTAGGTTCAAACCTCTTTTATTCCAAGTATCCAGTCACAAAGGCTAAGTGGGAATTGCTTAGGGAACCCAAACATTTCTGGCAATTCAAGAAGAATTGGTTTTTAACCCAAAAGCTTCTGACAGTCAGGTGTGAGACTGGCAAAGATTTAGCAAGAGCATTAGTCATGTGTGGAGAACGGAGGGTCTCATTTTTAATTCAAAGCACTGCATAGAAAAATTCATCATCAAACCTGAATATCAACCAACCACTCTTTACAAAGGAGGCAGCATCACAATAGCAGCCAGGGAAATTTAAAGGATGCATAATGACAAATCTCAAAGAAGCCCCAGAACCAATCACTCCCTCCAACAAGGTGAATTAGATGCTGGCACTGTATTCAGTGACAAGGCCTTGAAATGTTTACTTCTTGTTTCAATGCAAGGGTGCCTGGTTATTTGGAATTGTAACAAACATTCCCAACTAAAAAAAAAAGTGCTAAATAGCTTAACTATAGCTTCTGCCATACTGGCTAAGCACAGCTAATGTAAGCCACTACAACCTCTGTGCTGTGTATCCTAATTTCTATGAAGAAGCTAAATCAATTTTGTAGCCAGAGTCAGGAAGCAGCTAGGGATTTGCCTCTCCTAAGAAGCAGACAGCTGCAGCTAAATTGTTCTGATGCTCCCTGGGCACAGGTAATCACGAATGCTTTTCTAACCTGTTGGAAATGCGAATTGAGGCGGACGTCTTTGGCTGACTGAATGTTTCTTTAATTAACAGGTAGGAGATCAAATCATTGAAATCAACGGGGAGAGCACACGGGACATGACGCACGCCAGAGCGATAGAACTCATCAAATCGGGAGGAAGAAGAGCGAGGCTGCTGCTGAAGCGCGGGACGGGGCAGGTCCCAGAGTATGGTGCGTTTCACGTTCTTTCACTTTTTCGTGTTTCTTTCGTGAACTGTAAATGCCTGTGCTTATTTATAGACCAACAGCAGTTCTTTAATTCTGCTGAAATCTATATTTGGCTGTCAGTAGATATATGCACACACATGTACCTTTAAGCACAAGATAAATATGTGTGTGAGCTCTGTTTTGCTCTGTTAGGTAGTGTTTAAAATAGCAAACAGAGGAACTTTCAGGGCATCTCTGAGTGTGCAGGGAGATGCAGTTGCCACTTATACATTGGAACTTTTGTAATTTGACTGATAGTCATCTGTTCATTTGAGCCCACAGTCATGTATCAATTCCTAAAATCACACACAAATCACACTGTCCCATAGGGTAGATAACTGGGGCCAGGGGATAAGCAAGAACAAATCTTCAGGGCATGAAGTTTACGCTAAAATGTAAACTTCAGCTCATGCAGTGGTTGCATTTCCTTGACATTTAGGGATATCACAAAAATCCGCTCCTATGTTGTGCCCCCTGTGTGCTTTTGAGGAAGGCATTAAAGAAGTCTTGAAGGAATTCTGTCTCAGCAGCCCATTAAGTCACCGCTGACAGCATTACCAAGAAACTGCTACACGGTCATTACATGAAAAACATCAAATCTGAGCTGGTCTTTAATTAATCTCAAAGAGTGTCAGACAGACAGGTATCTGTGAAGAGCCGTGCAGAACATACCTGTCCAGATTAGAGAACTGGGATCTAACTGCTCAAATTGTTAGTAATTAGCTCAAATTGTTAATCTGGATACCATGATTCTCAATTTTACCCCTTCATCCCCAAACTTCCCTAGCCCATAAAAATTTCTAAGTAATACTTTTCCCTCTCAGATTATGCTTGTTGCTTAAGTTACCTAATAACTGACTGAACACTTCCTTATTTAGTGGAACAGTATAGTCCTGAGTTCAGCTGAAATATCTGAAGTTAAGTACTTTGCATCCAGGGTCTTGAGCATACCCCAAAAATGGCTGTCAAGCTCTCACATTAAGAGTTGGGAAGCATTCAGAAGTTTCAGTAGGGCTGGCTCTACTCCCAAGGAAATATTTCATCCCCGTTCCCCACCCTTAGTGCTTGCATCTAATAAAATGGTTTAAAATATTAATATTAGCAATAAGCACAGGCCTGGTCCTGCATGAATCCCTTCGTAAAGAATCTGAACTCTTAGAATAGAAAAACTATTTGTACCCTAGAGCATTAAATGATTCAGTAATATTAAACTGACCTGTGAGATTCTTTTTTTTTTTTGTCCTGTGAGATTCTATCACTTATAAAAAATACCTCATCCAAAAGGTATGTTTTACTCCATGGCAAGACCTATTACCTATACCAAGGGATTTTCATATTGATCTTATTGTTCTAACAAATTTATCTTCAAAAAGTTCATCTGAACAGCACGGCCACCCTGAGTTCTCTTTTCTTTCATAGAATCACTAATCAGTCCATATTTTCAGCATCCTCTATGCCAGCTGCTTATCTATAGTTAACAGAACAGTACTATTGATGAACCAAAGCATAAGTATGAAGCTACTTCAAAGCATCATTAAGGAAAAAATAAAAACATGTTTTCAAATGATGAAAATTCAAGATTGCATCAACATTATCCATTAATTGTTAACATCATCCAAAAGTATCCACTGAGGATTATTTTCTAAGAGTTTGTTGAATATCTGGGCACACTTTGGAGGGACTAATCATCAGTATTGTTAACTCTAGCAGTATTGCAGAATATCTTCTACATATTCTTCTAAAATGTAACATACTTGCTGATAAGGTTAGCACTTGTCAGCTATTTTTGATGTTAGATTGACATAGGTTCTGACTGTAAAATAACTTTGGAGATTATGTCACAAAAGAACAAATTTAAGAATAGAACCACTCCACTAGGAGATCTGATACTTCAGCTCTACTCTAGTCCCTCTCTTCTTTAGGGAAGTAAAAGAATAATCATAAGCTACATACTCATTAGTTCTTCAGGAAGACCTAAGCTGACAGATGCACGGTTATGAA